AGATAAATTCCACTACGCTTCAATTACATCACTTGGATAAAGAATTAGTCATTAGAGGATATAACGAGAATTGCAAACAGAGTAATATCAATAGTAATAGTTATAATAACAATAATAATAATAGTGCTGAAGTGAGTTAAGATAATCCTACTGATAAAAGATAGTTTAAAATGAATCAAGAATAAGGATAATAATAATAACAGTCAATAAGTAAAACGTTTAACCATGATAGATTCAGAGTCACGACTATCGCCTTTTGTATACAGAGGTCTGGTGTGTAAACTCAAATTGCACAAGCCTCCTCCACAATCGCAAGCATCTTCCTATTTATTTGTTTGTCTGTTGAAAACAGTGAATAACTTGACAGCGTCGATATCATGTCCGTAGTCCACAAGGTACTTTGTTATTGAACTTCTTGGCAATTTGTTTGTATTCAGCTGTTTATACCCACTTTGGCAAATGCTCCATCATGTGGGTAGACAATCGACTTTTTTTCCTACGACCTGTGTATTTGCTTCCCTTCCACAAATTGATGCACTCTGTTTGAAGTCTAGAGGATTGTCGACTGGTTTTTTAGCCAGACTTTTGAGTCACTCGCTTGATGGTGTTAAAGATGAAAAGTTTTGCAGCATAATACATCCTCTTGATAGCTTTATTGAGTCTTCGTTTGTGATTACCTCTTGTAAATATCATCTCATTTGAATGGCAAATATATATATATATAGACAGATTTCTTCCAATGTTTGGATAGTTTTGCAGGAGCTGATTTCTTTAGAGTATTTATTATTGAACTTCTCAGGATATCCATTCTCAGAAAAAGTATCCTTCACAGCATTTGTTTAGTGTTCATTCGTACTGTCAGAACAGATTTTCCGTGCTCTATTGAACAGTGTTCTTACTAAGTTATTTTTAAACTAGATTGGAATAAAGCTCTTGAAACTTTTGTACTGTCCTGTCCGTGGGGACCTTTTAAATAGAGATCTTTGAGTGGTGCTATCAGTCCTTTTCAGCAGAAAAACGTCTAGTAATTTCATACGTTAAATTACAACTAAAAGTTTACAATTTCACCTCTTCAACTCTCTATAGAAGATAAAGTTTGAGCACCTATCTGTCTTATTATACCGGGAGTAGAATGGTTTGTATATGATATCTTGACTGAAAATAGCTATCCAAACAAATTCATCAGGAAACGTATAACTAAGAAACTTGGAAAGGACAGTTCACTCACTAACCGTAAACAAGTAGCCCTTATACACACGACTGCGATTCAGGGGTGATATACCTAGCAAAATAATTACGAAGAAGTTAAGAAAATCAGATCAGAGAACTTTTAATGCTGACGAACTACACGTCTTATTCTTTACACGACCTTTGGTGATTCCTCGACTGAAAGATGAAGTACATAGACTAACCACTTCCAATTGTATCTGCCTATTCAACTGTGCTTTTGATGGAGCGATTTATATTAGCCGTTGCACTAGGAACTTGATTTTTCATGCTCTCTCGAGAACATCTTCCACCATGGCTAAGTAAAGGTGTAGTAGAAACCATTAACATTTCGATACTGGACGATCTGGTGCAAACCGGCCGGCCACAAAGTCAGCCAGCCAGTGTTGAAGAATCCTTCTCTATCATCTGACGGATACCTAATAAATTGCCGAAATCATCGAAGCACCGAATGCTTCAAACAGCAGAAGCTATTGCGATTCATCTGAAAGAACCAGTACTCTGCGTGCAAAAGAAGCAAGTCCAGCCCCTACTACTGCCCCTGGCCGGCCTTCAGTGTAGAGACTTTAAATTCATGAATTTCTATTATTGTCTTTTCTAATTTTATTGACACTCAGCTTATTTTATGTTGATGCTTTTCAGCTGTAATTTATGAATAATTTTGATTCGATTTTATTTATTATTCATAACACTAATCTATTCACTCACTATTACGTTTGTATTCATAACTCCAGAACCTTATGATGAAGTAATCGAAAGGAATACTCTTTGTTCGGTAAATATTCTTTTGGTAAATTAGTTCGTTTCTTTGTTGCGTCTTTCATTTGTTACTTAATAAATTTACGATATTTTTTTATATCGATACGTAAATAGTTATGACACAAGTTAATACATATTACGTAGTTATTTACGTTAACTCCTCTTATAGCATCGAATCAAGTCTAGTTAGACGTGTTGAGTGACATTTTGAAAAAGTTCATAAATATATTATTTCTATCATAATTAATCAAATATTTGCGAAGTATAATCAAAGGTAAGTTCAAAATGCACAATACCAAAGGAACAAAGTACTTTGTAAAATCAAAAATATGACGAATTCTAATTATATGCTATAAAGAATCGAATATTATCAAGTATTAGCTAGTAGGGATTTGATTGCTTAGTTACACGGTCTCATCATGAGCTGAAATCGGTTAGAGAACCAATTAAAAACCAGCTGGGGGTACTGCCATACAGCTACTGCGTCAGACTAGTTTGAGAGTCTGCAACGGTGCGCACCCACTGGGGCTCGAACACAGGATATTCTCGTTGCAAGGCTAGTGAGCTAGTAGACCATTAAGCCACTAGGAGTAGACACCTTAGTGGCCAGCCCATGAATTCTAACTTCTGCCAGTCCATGATATAGCCTGACAACTTCGCAATGGCTTATTACACCTGGTGTACCCTACTGTAATGGTCACGGCTTCCCAATAGAATCACAGGTGTCTACCTGCCTGAATAGGACCAGTCACCAATGAACGTCAGATCAATTTTCAAATATCGCTTTTGTAGGGATTCCCTAGAGAAGTTAGAATTTATGGGATAGCCATTGGATCGGATCCCATTGGCTTAATGGTCTACGAGTTCACTAGCTTTGTGACGAGAATGTCCTGAGTTCGAACCGACTGTGGTGGGTGCATACTGATGTAGAGACACAAACTAGTCTAATGAAACAGCTGGCTGTCCATCACCCCCTTGGTAGTTTTCCAATAGTTCTCTAACTAATGTCATCTCATGATGAAATCGTGTAATTAAGCAATCAAATCTGTACAAATGAAGTCCTTTGTGCTACCAAATGATGTTTAGGTCTTCCAACTTATGGAATCATCAAACCTCTTGAACACTTAGTTCGCAGATATGCATTTATGGGGGTTTGTCGTATATTTGATTGATTAACGAACGATTCTAATACTGGGAGAGGAAAATGTCTTTGACTTCAAAACAAGGCTAATTTATAAGTATAAAATGAAGCCAGCTCACTTACACAGTCCTTCACTTAGGAAATTTACCGAATATACTAAATGATATGCTTAATAGATAGATAGATCAGTTATAGTAATATATTTGTAAGACTTGGGCACTGGGGTAGTAAGTAACTCCAAATTAGTTTGTTTATAAGATGTATCACACGACTTCAAAAAAATTGAGTTTTATAGTTTTCATTGTTCTCTCCTATTTGTCGTCGTTGGGATAGTAGAATTTACCAGATATCTGGGTAGAGAGGTGTTGAATCGTTCCTATTACACGTATTCATTCTCAGCTGATTTGATAAACAAAGCTTCTGTTATCAATTTCTCCCTCCACCATGTTAGTTGCATTAGATTCTGAAACTGTCATCTTATCCCATCCAGCCTATTGTATGGTTGTGTGTAATTGCGTGTATTGAGTGCTATTGCTGAACTATTCTCCAGGTTTCTTATCTTATTCATGTCAACTAATCAATGTTTTGCTGAGTTTTTATGTTCGGCTAGTCTGACTGCCCCTGTTCTACTAGTTTGACCTATGTATTTGACCTGACAATCATTCCCGCAGGGTATTTGATAAACTAAATTGTTTTTTCTTCAAGGCTTCACGGGATCCTTTGACCGATAAAACTTGTTCATAATGAGTTTGTGCGTTTAAATGCCGGCCACTTTTATTCCTGCTGCATTGTTAAGAATTCTGTGTAAGGTTTCACAGGTTTCTTCCTTGTATGGAATTACTACTGATGATTTAGATTCCTTAATGTTGGTGTTGTCATTATCTTGTGTGTGCTTGACAAGCATATCGCCATTATTATTACTATTGTTATTATTATCACTATCACTACTATCATTATTTATTTTATTTTTACAGTTCCCTACATACGTTCTGACTAATTTGTCAAAGTAATTATTAAGTTTCAAAGCTTTTCTTATATGCCTTAAACAGGTATTGAATATTCAGCATGTGATATTGGTAGCCCAAAATTTTGCGGGCTAACCATTGATATCAGGTGTTCGCAGGCAGAGGATCGAACCCCGGACCATTTGCATGATCGGCGAGAGTCATAACCGCTGTGCCACCGACGCACTTAAACATTTCACCAACCCTACTTCCACTGACATAGGATGATGGAATGATCGGAAGTCCAAATATCTGTTTGAATATTTGGATTTCCTGTTAACACACTAGTGTGTTTAACTTCCCATCTTCTTTCCTTTTTGCGTTGCAAATCTAACATTAGAAGTTCCCTTTCTTGACTTTCTAATTCATAAGTGAATTGAACTGCCTCCACCTTTAAGTTATAATGTATTTGAAAAAATCTATCCAATATGCTGTGTTCCACCCGACTTTTGGTCTGGGGGGGCTGAACGTTTCAATCGTTATGTTTTCCCACCTATCCAAGAATATATATCGGCCACAACCACGGATATTGGTAGGGTATCAGAAGTTATCTTCTGCAGAAATGAGATATTTCTTATTCTATTTATTAAAAACGTTGAAAACGAAATTGAAAAATGTCAAATTTACCTATGTGTGTATATGTATCGTATAATAAATATGGTCTACTCTAAACCACGTGTTTTATTTTGACTGTGTATTGTGCATCCTACATACAATTAAAAAAATATTACCTATGTGTACTTGAGAATAGTGTAAAACAAAGTGTACACATATACACTCAACCACACACCCACCCATGCACTAACGCACTTACCAACCTAACAACCATAGACACACATTTGCATGAGTATATATATATACATATATTCAAAACAAAGTGTGTAACCATTGATCTAAAGAGGTGTGGCCTACTTATACTCACTCATACTAACAAGTATTAATCAAAACTATTAATAATAATAATTATTATTATCCTTCAACTGAATTCAACATTGCGTCAACAGTGTTAAAGAGATGGGAAAATCAACTGTAAGTTGAAAAGAAATTTAGTAAAACTCAAATTTTACATAACTTATGAATGCATATATGATGAATGCACTTTCACGAGTTGATCATGGATTGATATCAGTTAGAGAAACATTGAAAAAACCAGCCACAAGGAGTACTGGTTAGCTGTTTTCCCCCTAAGTTTGAGGCTGACTCTTCAGCAGTATGCACCAATGGACCTTTCGGTTGCAAGGTAAGCTGGCTTGTATACCATTCAGCCATTGGGGCTTGATTCAGTGGCCGGTAGATGAATTATAAATCCTACTATACTAGTACTCCACCGGTTGCTGGCTTTCCACTGGTTCTCTAAATGATATCAATCCGTGGTCAAACTCGTAAAAATAACAAATCTAATCCTTACAAATCAAGTAATGTGAAATGGAATTAGTCAAGAGATCGTAGGCACTCTGGTATCTCCTCATTTACGCATAAATCTTTCGCCGTTTTACTAAAGATTTCCATGGGGAGGCACAATACAATGAGTCTTGCCTCGTTTTTTTTTTCAGCTCTGTCTTCGGACGGAGTATTTAATTTTTTGTGCGTCGGTGGCACAGCAGTTATGACTCTCGCTGCTCATGCACATGGTCCGGGGCTAACAATATCATACGCTGAAAATTTTATACTTGTACCGAAAATATATGGTGTGGAATTCAGCTGTAATCAAAATCATTATGGCTGATACCTCAATTTTTGTTGCTGTTATACTTCTAAAAGATGAGTTGAGTCATACTCACCATCAGAAATATTAATTAAATTAGTATTCATATGAAGTGTGGTCAAGATTTGACAGAATAGTTCTAAAATATACTTGGGCGTCTAAAGAGCATAATTTTGAAAATATATCTAATCACTGAATTCTAGATATTAACTGTTTGAATAGATGTGAAGATGTTGTGGTCTTGTATAGCTGATGCATGGTGAAACTTGGTTAATAAATTTTAAAAATGGATATGTATCACTAATTAATCATACATGGTCTGAAATTCTCGATTGTCGTTATCTTCTTATGTAGAGGCTAACACCATTGTATACAGCATATATATACATATATATACATAAGTTTGAGGTGAAATTTGGATCACAGCTCATACATTTTCAATGAGCATAATATCTTGCTTTATTCCAAAACAATACTTGTGATACAGAATGTAATTCTCAGCATTTCACCATAGTATTGCATCCAGTTTGTACATTAACAATAAATAAAATTCTACATAGATTCTGGGTAATCTCAGTTCATTACGACAACAACATATTGGTATGTTGGTAGCAAAGCCAAAAATTGAACAGAATGTTTGAAGGTGTTAGAAAAGTAGATGCTAACTAGCATATTTACTGGCGTAAGCGGAAGAACGAAACAAAACAGCACATAACAGAGAACAAGAGAGAAAAGGAAAAGAAAGAAAGTAAAACGTTGTACCTATAAATGATATGAATTGGAAAGACGAGATCCAGTTTTTCTACTGGCTATTTAACAAGTTATAGGTTTCTCGCCTAATGCTTCCCTTTATCGCACAGAACACGAGCTAAGTAGGGTATGGCTGAGTTTTTGTACTTACTAGTACGAGCATATAGTTTTCTATATAGGCTGGCTTCTGGTTTTGCCTGATGAGATACAACAGGGGGAGAGTTGTGGATGAAGATGGTGGTGGTTTGAGTTTGATAGATAGAATGGATTTAGCCCATTTTTCACATGAGTCCAAGTGACTGTCGACCAGAATATTAACAAGCTGGTTAAGTGGCACCCTGTGGCCTACCATGTTGACTACCTTTAACACCCTACGTAATACGGGATAGTCCTTTTTCAGTAGCCCTGACAAAACTAAAGGGGGGGACAATAAAGAATAATAGGCAGGATGCAAGAGTTAAGGAATCCTAAGAGTAAGGGTTGGGTTATTCCAGAATGCCTTAACTTCCTGATGTAAAAGGTAAGACGGAATATTTTCTTAGAAATCATCAAGATATGAGATGACCAGGAAAGATCAGCAGATAGAACGACGCCAAGATATTTAATTTCCGACCTGGTTTCTATTTCAGTGCCATCTATGCTGCACACCTCATGAGTGCTAACCAGTTTGTTTAAGTTAGATTTGTACCTAAACGTGAAATTAACTGTTTAGCATTTAGAGGGGTTTAAGGTGAGACCGTTTTCCTTAGACCATTGTCAGATTTCTGATAAAAAGCGATTTAGTTTAGAGCAGTTACTTTGACATTTGACAAGGAAAGATACAGTTAGATCATCAGCATATTTTACAAAATTAATGTCATTTTAGGATGGTAGGTCGTATAGAAAGAAAGAAAGAAAGAAAAGAGAAGTGGGTAGAGTACAGCACCTTGGGGGACACCAGCTTCAGTGAGCACCGAAGAAGAGGATTTGCATTTGTATACAGTGTACTGCATTCTGTTTTAGAAGTAGGAATGCAACCAGTTAGTGACCAAGGACTCAGTTTGTGTTACAGAGAGCTTATTTAGCAAGTGACATCTAGGTACATAGTAAAAATCAAAAGTGAAGTCGAAAAACGTGCAGCGGATGTATCTGACACCTTTGTTTAGTTTATATGTTTAGTTTGTTTAGTATATATGTTGATGCCTGTTTCATGACTCATATAACTGCACAAAGGTTTAGGAGACAAGAGATGTCCTTTGCTTTATATATCTAAGCCCTTGTTATGATAATTTCGATTAATTTCCCTGGAGAACTTCAGATCAGTTTGCACAGCGTAGGAAACATTGGAACTACTCAACTCAATTTTGTTGAGATTTTACAAATATAATTTTTACAAGTTATATGAGTATGTCGACAGAGCAGGTGATGTCTCATCTGCTAGGCTTCATTACACGTATTGTAGAAAAGTCATTCCAGTGGACATTTATGTCTGAGTAGAAGTGCATGGATGCACTGTAAAATTACATATTTACAAACATCAGGGCATAAACATGAGTACAGTAAATGCCTGACCAACATGTTAGTTGACTAGTTGAAGTAAACTGCAAGATAACTTAAATTCAGTTGTTGGTTTGTAGGGATTTGATTAGTTTCAGGATTTCATCACGAACTGGCATCGGTATGAGAACCATTGGAAAACCATCAAGGAGTATTGGACAAACAGGTGTTTTTTCAGCCAAGTTAGGGACTGAATAGTCACCATTACTAGCTACCGAAATGACTTTCCAGTTACAAGGCCAGTGAGCGCGTAAACCATTTAGTCAATGGGGTCTACTCAAATGGCCAGTTCATGAATTCCTACTTCTGCCAATATGTGATAGAGCATGACTGGAACTAACGAATATCACTGGTAGTGAGTATTTATCCCCAAAACCGAACCTGCTGTACCTCATTGATCACGACTTCCCAATACGATTTCTAGAAGTCGTGAAGTTTTACCAAAATGATTATTATAGCAGCAGTAATAATAACATTGGTGGTGTAAATCTCGCTTTGTGACTGAAGTATGAATGTAAATTGTCAGTCATGAAAGCATAATTTGTCGTATTAATATATGTATGTACAACTTGGGCACTGTAGTATTAAGTAACTCCATGTTAGTTCGTTTATTAGATGTATCACACCTTGATAGAAAAGTATTATTTACTGGATGACAAGGTTTCGAACAAAATTTATTATTGTTCATAATGATTTCATCAATTATAATCACACGACTTCGAAACTTGAGTTTTATACTTTTATTTGTCCTCTCCTATTTGTCGTTGTAGGGGTAGTAGAATTTTCTAGACATCCGGGTGGACAGGTGTTGAATCATTCCTATTACACGTATTCTCTTAAGTTGATTCGGTAAACAAAGCTTCTGTTATCAATTTCTCCCTCCACCATGTTAGTTGCATTAGATTCTGAAACTGTCATCTTATCCCATCCAGCCTATTGTATGGTTGTGTGTAATTGCATGTTTTGAGTGCTATTGCTGAACTTTTCTCTAAATTTCTTATTTTATTCGGGTCAACTAATGAAGATTTCGCTGGGTTTTTATGTTCGGCTAGTCTGACTGCGCCTATTCTACTACATTGACCTTTGTATTTGACCTGACAACCATAGCAGGCAGGGTATTCGATAAACTAAATTGTTTTGTGTTAAAGGCTCCACAGGACTGATCCTTCAACCAACAAAGCTTGTTTCTAATTGAATTTGTGGCTGGTATGAATGCCAGTTACTCTTGTACCTGCCTTGTTAAAAATTCTGCGTATGGTTTCAGAGGTTCCTTCCTTCTATGGAATTACTACTGATGATTTAGATTCCTTATTGTTAGTGTTGTCATTAATATTGTTATTATGATTATCACTATTGTTACTATTATGATTTATTTTATTTTTACATTTCCTTACATATTTATCAGGGTAATTATTAATTTTCAAGGCTTCTTTTATGTGTATCACTTCCTGTCTTGGATATTCCCTGGTACTACTCAGGTTTTGTGCTCTGTCATTTAAACATTTCACCAGTCCTATATTTACTGATATAGGATGGATGGGATGATCAGAAGTCCAAATATCTGCTTGAATGTGTGGGTATCCTGTGAACACACTCTATTGGGTTTAACGTTCCATCTTCTTTCCTTTTTAACGTTGCAATCTAACATTGGAAGCTCCCCCATTTTTGTCTCTTGTCTTTTGACGAATTGAAATGGATATTATGTGAGGCACCATTTATAAAAAACTCTTCACATCATCTCCAGTCATGTTAGCTTACAAAACGTCAAACACATCACTCACCCAATCGATTGATATACAACAGCTTTTATAGTTCCAGTAGAGAGAATGTCGTGCTAATACGTGTAATAGAAGTGTTGATTTATGCCTTTGCACTTCTGACTATTTGACTATTCCAGTCATATGATTATTCTGAAAAATTCAGTTTTCAATAAAATTTTAAAAAATACGATCTATAGAAGTTTTAATGTCTTGTTTTAGTAAAACATAAACGACGAAAAGAAATACACCAATGTTTATTGATTACAGAATTAATTTAA